TGTGTGAAGGCTGTGTGACGGTTGTGAGACTGTTGTGTGACGGATACAGTATGTGATGGTTGTGCTTGTATGTGATGTTTGACTGTATGTGACGGTTGTATGACTGTTGTACTGTTGTGTAACGGTTGTGTGACGGTTGTTAGACTGTTGTGTGACGGATACAGTATGTGATGGTTGTGCTTGTTGTGTGACGGTTGTGTGACGGTTGTGAGACTGTTGTGTGACTGTTGTGTGACTGTTGTGTGATGGTTGTGTGAAGGTTGTGAGACTGCTGTGTGACGGTTGTGTGATGGTTGTGTAACTGTTGTGTGCTTGTTGTGTGCTTGTTGTGTGACGGTTGTGTGACTGTTGTGTGATGGTTGTTTGACTGTTGTGTGATGGTTGTGGGACGGTTGTGTGATGGTTGTGTGACTGTTGTGAGACTTTTGTGTGACTGTTGTGTGATGGTTGTGTGACGGTTGTGAGACTGTTGTGTGACGGTTGTGAGACTGTTGTGTGACTGCTGTGTGATGGTTGTGTGCTTGTTGTGTGACGGTTGTGTGACTGTTGTGTTACTGTTGTGTGACTGTTGTGTGACAGTTGTGTGACTGTTGTGTGACGGTTGTGTGACTGTTGTGTGATTGTTGTGTGACTGTTATGTGAAGGCTGTGTGGCGGTTGTGAGACTGTTGTGTGACGGATACAGTATGTGATGGTTGTGCTTGTTGTGTGACGGTTGTGTGACTGTTGTGTGCTTGTTGTGTGACGGTTGTGTGACGGTTGTGTGACTGTTGTGTGATGGTTGTGTGACTGTTGTGTGACGGTTGTGTGACTGTTGTGTGATGGTTGTGTGACTGTTGTGTGACTGTTGTGTGATGGTTGTGTGACTGTTGTGTGACGGTTGTGTGATGGTTATGTGACTGTTGTGTGACTGTTGTGTTGTGTGTTTCAGGCGTATTACTACAGTGCCATCGTGGAGGACGTGCTGCTGCGGTTCTCCTGGACTCTGACTCTGACTCTGAGCACCTTCACCTCCATCCCCGCCATCAAAGACATCCTGACCACAGTCCTGGCCCCTATGGAGGTCTTCAGGTAGACCAGACCCAGACTCTGACCACAGTCCTGGCCCCTATGGAGGTCTTCAGGTAGACCAGACCCAGACTCTGACCACAGTCCTGGCCCCATGGAGGTCTTCAGGTAGACCAGACCCAGACTCTGACCACAGTCCTGGCCCCTATGGAGGTCTTCAGGTAGACCAGACCCAGACTCTGACCACAGTCCTGGCCCCTATGGAGGTCTTCAGGTAGACCAGACCCAGACTCTGACCACAGTCCTGGCCCCTATGGAGGTCTTCAGGTAGACCACACCCAGACTCTGACCACAGTCCTGGCCCCTATGGAGGTCTTCAGGTAGACCACACCCAGACTCTGACCACAGTCCTGGCCCCTATGGAGGTCTTCAGGTAGACCACACCCAGACTCTGACCACAGTCCTGGCCCCTATGGAGGTCTTCAGGTAGACCACACCCAGACTCTGACCACAGTCCTGGCCCCTATGGAGGTCTTCAGGTAGACCAGACCCAGACTCTGACCACAGTCCTGGCCCCTATGGAGGTCTTCAGGTAGACCAGACCCAGACTCTGACCACAGTCCTGGCCCCTATGGAGGTCTTCAGGTAGACCACACCCAGACTCTGACCACAGTCCTGGCCCCTATGGAGGTCTTCAGGTAGACCACACCCAGACTCTGACCACAGTCCTGGCCCCTATGGAGGTCTTCAGGTAGACCACACCCAGGACTTCAGGTAGCCCAGACCACAGTCCTGGCCCCTATGGAGGTCTTCAGGTAGACCAGACCCAGACTCTGACCACAGTCCTGGCCCCTATGGAGGTCTTCAGGTAGACCAGACCCAGACTCTGACCACAGTCCTGGCCCCTATGGAGGTCTTCAGGTAGACCACACCCAGACTCTGACCACAGTCCTGGCCCCTATGGAGGTCTTCAGGTAGACCACACCCAGACTCTGACCACAGTCCTGGCCCCTATGGAGGTCTTCAGGTAGACCACACCCAGACTCTGACCACAGTCCTGGCCCCTATGGAGGTCTTCAGGTAGACCACACCCAGACTCTGACCACAGTCCTGGCCCCTATGGAGGTCTTCAGGTAGACCACACCCAGACTCTGACCACAGTCCTGGCCCCTATGGAGGTCTTCAGGTAGACCACACCCAGACTCTGACCACAGTCCTGGCCCCTATGGAGGTCTTCAGGTAGACCACACCCAGACTCTGACCACAGTCCTGGCCCCTATGGAGGTCTTCAGGTAGACCACACCCAGACTCTGACCACAGTCCTGGCCCCTATGGAGGTCTTCAGGTAGACCACACCCAGACTCTGACCACAGTCCTGGCCCCTATGGAGGTCTTCAGGTAGACCACACCCAGACTCTGACCACAGTCCTGGCCCCTATGGAGGTCTTCAGGTAGACCCACACCCAGACTCTGACCACAGTCCTGGCCCCTAT